CCCCCCCCCCCCCCCCCCCCCCCCCCCTCCCCCCCCCCCAAAAAAAAGGGGGGGGGGCAGTCATTTATGCATGGCAGAAGAAACAAGCTTGAATTTTGCACAAATATGATGTGTTAGGCGAAGAAGCATCCCTTCTGCGAACATGCACTTCCAGGGCTGGATGCTCAGCTGTGCTAAATCAGATGGAGCCATCTCAGTGTGTGCCACTGAGAGCTGCAGCCGCGTGGCCAAGAGGGAATCCTGCTTCAGGGATGTGTCCTCGGCAAAAACAAGGCGCTCGAAGCCCTTGGCCCCATGCAGATCTGTGGGTCGGGCTTCGCAGCACTTGCAGGTTCTCTGCTGTATGTCAGGGCCACTGCAGCAAAAGTCGTCTAAATAAAATTGAATTTTGAATACATAACATAGGAGAATGCTTCTCAGGACTGACATAGTATGTAACAAATAATAGAGACACAAAAAGCAGTCTGATTATTGGTTAATTAAAGTAACTAAATAATTAAAGTTTGTGTGACATAGGCCTCTGTTTTCAATAGTTTCAGTTTACAAAGAGCAAATTTACAAAGAGCAACGCTATTTGAAGGATTCTGCAGCACAACTAACTGATGTGCGTGGAGGTCTATGCTTTTTATCCCTGCAAAAAAATGATGACAGACCGTTTTAAAAAAAATTCTCATTGAGGCAGAGGGAGGGATAACCTGTGTTAAAATTTCCACAGATGTCAAACCGAAGCATAACTGATGGTGGCTAATAGCCTTGTTTACCCTGGGGACGCCGCTACTTTGGACTGTCAGATTAGAACTGCTACCAACCTACTCGTCAGACAGCTTTCATTACTTGCTAATGCCTGCATTATTTGAGGTGCTTGTAGTTATTTGTAGGGAAGGTAAATTGTGTCGTTAATACCTCCGATTTACAGCACAGATCATCTAGTATTTTAGCTGTAGTGTTATATTGGCTGTACTTTTTAGTGGGAGGCATTACTGTTTAAAAAAGCAAATAAGAAGAAACTATATACTATTTAAGCAATCAATTCCTAATAAGTATTAGAGATGTCAAGTGAACGGCGTATCAGACTTTATGACTTTATGCCAATTACGCCATAAACACTGGCTGTTTGGATGTAATCCAATTAGTCAGTAGGCAGCTCCTGATGGTCACCTCTGTGCCTTGTTATTGTGTTCCTTCATGCAGCTAAGCACAGCCTTCAATAGCTAATTGCACCTGTTGCACAGAAAACTAGGACTATTTGGATGAGAAACATGATCTTATAAACAGGTTAATGCTGTGTAATGAACTATCACCCTGCAGTGTAATGGAAATAAATGTGAAAAAATTAAGGTAGAAACCCCAGGGTATTGTGCGGTCTCCTGAAGCTGTTTAGTGTTAGAGTTAAATTTCCCACCTGTTTGTATAATACTTTGTGTCGAGCTATGTAATAATCCCTAGCAAAATGAGAATCAACTTACTGTGCCTTCTGAGCTGACTGGTTTTCAATGGTCTCTATAGTTACACACTTCCGTGGTTACAAACAGCGTAAACCGCTGCATCCCGTAAGGGAGGGATGGGAGGGAAGGAAGCAATCCATTAACATTTTGGCCACTGTTTGGAACCCTGTCTTCCACCAGTACACGATAAAGTTAAGAAATACATAGAAATTCTTCACTCTGTGTTAAAAGAGGATATCTTCAATATTTAAGCAAGTAGAATAAATGAGAAGTTGTTTATATATGTCCATTTTGTTTTATGACACAGCATGAAAAAGCAACCGAAGGAAAGGCCAGCACCTGAAGATTTAATGGTAAGTGAAAGTTCAGAGCCCCTCAGTATGTATTTGTCTGTGAATACTTTTTATTCATGTATATAGAAGTGTATCCATTTTTTTAATGCATTTTTCAGTATGTACAAATTCAAATCTAAACTCTTTCTGGCTTGTGCAGCAATCACATTTACAGAGAGCACACAAACCAAAGGTGGAATTATGATTCCACTGAAGTTAATGGGTATTTTGCTGTTACCTTCATTGTGGCCAAAGCTTCACTTGTGATTTGGGGAGTTAATACAGAACTTTCACAGCCAGTATCAAGTTTCAATCAAAACCATTTTGATGCTTAATACACATTTTCTTCAGTTTGTATGTCCAGGGATCACAGCTTAATGTAGGTCACTCTTTGTCATCATTTGCCAGTCTTAACCTTTCAAAATCTGAAGACTGAAAACAGAGGATATGGTCAAAATAGTGTATTTTTAATGAAATGCAGGAGCTACTGTTTTCACTTATATTCATGTAAAATGAAATTAGATTGGCTACAGAAGATTGAGGTAATACGTAGCTTTGGTTTGTCCTTAGAAGGGCTCTGAGTGTTGGAATCTGAGCTCAGAGACCGCTTCTTTTGCTTGCAATTGTCATTTTTTCAGTAAGGCAATAACAGGGTACCTGCCCTCAAGCTGGTCCCTTGTGGCTGTGCATTTAGTACAGAGTGCTGTTTTCACTGGTTTTAGGCAGCTGGAAAAATACTATATCAAACAATTATTACAAATATTTACAGTAAACTTGTATTGTAGATAAGAGTTGTAGTACCCTCTGACTCACATCAAATATCTTTTGATTTTTAAATGTTTCATTACTTTTGTTTATATGCTATGTTTCCTGTAACTTGGAGGTTTATGTAAAATCGTCATAATTTATTTTCTGTGCATTAAATATCTAGGAATAATTCTAGCAGATTTGAACAAGATAAGGACACGTTTGCATCATTTAATTTCTTGCTTACATGCTGCGAACTGCAAGTAGAATAAACAAGTGTTTCTATTGCAGCTGTTCTCTAGTTAAAGGCTAATCTCTGAAGATGTCCTGGGGCAGATATCTCACAATCCAGACTAGTCTCAATTTAGATCCTGGTTAGTAAAGTGTTTAACTGTGAATCTAATTTTAAGGATATTAACTTCAATAGATGTACATTTGAAGTTAGGCACCTGCTTAAATACCTTGGTAAAATGAGGCCTTAAAGTTTTATCAGAGCCCCTCCACTTTGTGGTGTTCTGTGTCTCATATGAAAGGCTTACACTGCCTTATTTTGTCTTTTTTATTAACTTTTGATGGTTGGAAAATTCTTGCAGTTAGTCACATCTGAGAAAACTTGGAACAGGTTCTAGAGATGTAGACACATTTACCTTGTGCACTATTATGCTATGGCTGGATAGCTTAGCTATTAAAACAACGGAATAGGGTTTCATAAAACCTGTATCTGTTTGTAAATGCATGTTTCAGTGATGCAATAGGCCTGCTACTTATAAATAAAACATCTGCAGATCGCACATACCCCCATAAGTATATATGTATGTTTGTAAGCAATAACACCACTCCAGGGTGTAGAGTCATAAAAATGAGGCCAAAGGGTGAGTGCCTGCAGTACTAGGGAAGTGCACAGATTTATCTTTACAACTACATGCCCTAGAGTGTGCTAGTCCCCCTTTAAGGAGGTATTTTGTAAAATAATTTTAAAATTATAGCAGCTCAGGAAAAAGAAAAAAAAAAGCCTTCCTACTTTTTAAACAAAATCTTTTGTTTAATGCATTTTTCCCCTCATGCTACTTTCTATTCAATTATAAATGAACTTGCAACAATAAGTACTAAAGCATGGAGTAGACTGCTGCTGAAATAAAGTAGTGACCCAGTCCTTGCCTGCTATGTGGCTGACCCTCATAAGCTGCCCTAAATTCCTTCCTCCGGCCTGATGGGCTCAGAGCACCCTGTGTTTTTCTGTAACAGACTCACCGTTAGCTCAGTAGTTGCTCGCCAGTCAAGCCCTTTACGTTCTTGCGCTTACCCCGTCTTGCCAAGAAGCACTTTATTTATAAGACTCATATGCACATATACATTAGCATATATATGCACACACACGTAATATATCTGTATGCACACAAGCACATCTGTATATACCTGTGTGTATATAAATTACCATACTTTGTTGGAAAACAGGGCCAGAACAAAAGCTGTTAAATATCCTCTGAATTCTAGAATTGCTGACCACAATATCGTTTCTCATTCCACATCGCCCGTTTCTGAAACCTCTGTTGTAATTCTGATGGATATCTCCATGTTAACTATCAGAGTGGGTAGAGTAATGCAGATACTATCAGTGAAATCCTGGACTTGTCAAGGTCAGCTCTCTTAAATGAGAGCAGGATTTCACCTTGTTCATTGGGTTTGGGTTTTTTTTTAATTTAGAAGTGTACTAGCAAGGATGAAAGGTGTAACACGTAATTGTCGTTAGCTTCAGACAAAACAGTGGAGTGCAGGCTTTCTCCCCTATGGACATTAACCGTACTGGAAGTCGCTATTTTGTAACCAATTTAGTATAATTAAAGACTGAAAGCAAAATGAAGAGAGCAGAACATCAATCTTTTTCTACTCTCCTGATAATCGGTGAATTGTTAAATGCATTTTAAGAGCCGACTAACAATACCTGGAGTGCCAGATTGGCAACTCCAGTGAAGTCACGGGGTTACATCAGGGATGGATTTACCCTGTCTATCATGTTAGGAAGCCCTTTTTTATAAAAGTCACTATGCACATTTTGTCAGAAAATAGGGCCAAAGCCAAGGCTGTAAGAAATTCCTGGATAAAATCAGACTTTCTAGTACCATAGATATTCTTGTGCAAGCGAACACCAAATTTCCGTAACAGCTGGCATGAATCAGGTTCCTGTATTTGCACTCGGTCCCTACGCCCTTTCTTTCATATACCCATCCACAAAACAAGATATGACATCGGTTTCTCTGTGTATACATAACCAACGATTTAATTGTTTCAAAGTGTTTCAAATTAACAGACTTGTTCCACAAGAGTGAAAAAAAAGTAATTTCACCAAGCAATGGGAAAATTGTCCATCCAGGGAAAGGAACAATCTTTATAATTCACCAGTGGTTATTCTGAACCTCGTGCTTACAGTGTCTGCTCTTTTGTCTCCAGTTTGTTCCCTCTTAAGAAGAGAAAGGCATACAGTCAATTAAATTGAACGTACTCTGCTTCATCACCAGGGAAGACTGCACAACATCTTAGCATATTCCTCTGTCTCTCTTCTCTCCCCTTCCAACAAGAAAAGGAAAAACTCAACAAGTCTTCTCAATAAAGATTCCCCCACCCCCCCACCCCCGAGCTTCCTGGTTTCATTTAAAACGTGGAGTTTTCTGGCATCACAAGCCTGGCTCCCAGGGAAATGCAGACATACGTGTATATTTAGCGCGTGTGATGTGGTGGTACGGGTAAGGTTTAAACTCCCACTTGTGCCGTGTGTGTGGGTAGGCATCCACGGGCTGGTTTGGCTCAGGAAGCTGTAGATCTGACTGTATTTACGGTATTTTTCAGAAGCTTTCCATTCTAAGCTCTATTTAATGGAATCTATGCATAGTAAGTAATCAGGTCAGAGAGAAGCAACATCCCCTGTTTGAGATCAATCGCTGGCTAATACTTTATCTAGGCCACTTTATTATCTCATGCTGATTCCATTCCCATTCTCCTCCTCCTTTGTAGCATGCACTTCAGCTGTGGTAAAAGTACGTATCGCATACATATTAAAAACATATACCCATTCTATCTGTATGTAAATGTGTGAGACACAGCTGGATATTGCAGGAGTTTGATTTACTAATAGTTATTATCTGTTCTAGCTGTTCAGAGGCAAAGAGAGTTTCAGAAAACAAGCTAGCGCAGAAATTGCCTTTATGATATCACTATCCTGCTTTGGTAATTGTTTAAAATCTCTTCTTTAGCTGGAAGCTTGGCCTTTTATTTTGCAGATCGTATGCGCTTTTCAGAAAGCCAGCAGAATTGTTGAAGTCTCTTGTTGAGTTTTTTGTTAGTACAGCATTGAACTCTACCATGCTACATATGGCTATTTGAACAAAAGCGATTTACTTAAAGAAATTGTATTTGAAATACCAAAAGCCAAGCATGTAGCAGTTATTCCTTTATGCTTTCCCATGGATGCATAAAAGTACAGTCTTGAGGATGCTGCTTGGATTTCTCAAGGAAAGTATTGGGCAGGGAGAGGCAATGCTTTTGGCCAAGCATGTAGTTGGCTTCTGCACTTGATTACTTTTGCACAGATCTTCTAATTTTTGTTCAAGTCTCCAAATTTTAAACACAACTTCTAGCTTTTCTCCTTTTTTTAAATTTAAATTACTGATGCTTTTTATGTTGGTGTTTTATTAATGTAGAAGATTGTATGATAAATTGTACATCATCTGTGTCAAAACCATTGACCTGCTGAAAAACATGTTGTTCTTCGGGTTTTTTATTTTAATGCCTAGTGCAATTTTGAAATTTCCTATTGCTATGCATTCAGCAATCCCTGTCTCCACTTCAGGAATGGCGTTTAGACCAGGCACCCTGATCTCGTTAACTACAATGGGCATTTCTTCAGATAGATCGTTTGTTTGTATATTTAAATGTGTTAAGATACATGTCACGATGTTATAGACTCTCAAAAATGGATTCTGGCTAGCTGTTCCCCCATCCTCAACAAGTATAGGAAATTAAAAAGGCAAAGCTTTTAAGTAGCTATATTTAAGTAGCTATATTCTAGAGGGGCTGGACAGTAGCACTTACCAGGTAGAGCTAAACTTGTTTGCAGCTCGTTGTGTTAAACCATTGTTTGTAGCTCTTAGGAAATACTTTTATGGTTTAAACAAACAAATGGAGGATGAGCATAATCCTACCTGGATTTTCATATAAACCTTCAGAATAAAGCCAATAAAATACCGCCACTTACGTTTGTCAATAAGAGGGATTTCCCC